TGCAGTCAGCAATCAGATGGAGTATATTCCCGATCCGGCTGCCGCTACCGCCGCCGCTACTTCAAGGCCGATCTTTGATGTTGAATCGGACACGGACGTGGCAGCTTCAGAAGCTCAGAGTGAGTTGGCTACCCAGGTGTATGGGACGCCAGCCGTCCCAGGCGGGGATTGGAGTGAAATTTGGAACATGGATCGTCCAGCGCAGGGTTTTATCACTTATACAAAAACCTGGATGACATGCTTCTGCCCTCGGCGCCAGAGCCAGATGCTCCTGTGATGGAATGGCTCGCCTACCTCGTGTGCTCCAGGCGCAGCTGCACAACCGATGATCTGCGCCATCTCTGTCTGCAGTTGCCGTCACAAACTTCGGCCAAACGGCGCAAGCTCACGACTTCGGATGGCGACACGGGTCGTCTTCAACGCAGCTTTTCTGTAGGGGCCTACTCGGCAGGCGGATGCCACGGCATCCAATGCAACACTTCCAACTTTCCCTGGACATCGTGCTGGTTGACATCGTTGGTGCGCGCGGCTGCTCCTCTGCATCAGTTCAGTACTTGTACGTTGTTACACAACGTGATGCATTATAAGCACACTGACAGCCGGAATGCACCCAACACTCAGAATGTCATCATACCCTGCGATTTTTGGCGGGGGGGGCAGCTCTGGATTGCTAACCCTTGCGGGTCCATCCATTTGGACTCCACCTCAGGGCCAGGCATCCTAAGAGAGATTACGAGGCCTTGTGTGGTCCTGAAACCGACTACACCACATGCGACTTTTCCGTGGTCACACGGAGACAGAACCATTCTGGTGGCTCATCATGCTCGAGGACTGGAGGCTCTCACAAAGGCTCAACGAGACACGTTGGCCGGGTTCGGCTTCCAGTTGCTTTTGCGCCCTGATGCAGTGGCTTCCTCGGGGCATTAAGGGGCATTCTGGAATTTTTCTGGGGCTTTTCTGCCACAAGCTGGTATGGAACAATGTGCGGGTCTGGTTGTTACTTGCCCTGATGCGAACGATGATGGTTGAGACTTCTCCTGACGATCATGGGCCGCGCTTTCCTTTATGGGGCATAGGATGTACAGTTGATCGTTGGTGAGAGTGAGATTATGCTTCTCTTAGCGCGCTTTCATCATTGTATGCTCACTGGCCGTCCGCGGTGGGGCATATAATGTCTGTCTTTGGGGACGGTGCACTATGTGCGTCGCTATGCGACCAGGGAAATCCCTGACCACATGTCCTGTCGCAAAGCCTGGATCTCCTTGGCGGCGTGTAAAACGAAACGAACTGTCGCCACCGACAACCCCACCCCCACCACCGCCACCACCGTCACCAGCACCACCGCCCTCACCACTCCCAAACACGACTCCTATTTGCCGGCAGCTGTGGCATACATGAGAAAAGACACCAAGGTTCTGGCTCACTTTGGAGCGCCACTCAATGCGTGGAATGAGCAGCAAACTTGTGATTACTGTTGGCAGAAATCTGCCTCTCAAAACATTCACTGTGACCCACACCAAGGGTAGCAGCACTCTGACAGGCAAATTCGTGATTGAACTGCCTCGGCTACAGGGCACGTGTTCCTTGCAATCACAGTCAGCTAGTTCTGTTGCCATGCTACAGCCAGGCAAGTGCGAACCTAAGGATGATAATTAAGATGGGCTCCACGGTTTCAGCGTTTCCGCTAGAAAAATAATATGTGCTTGCCTATGCATGTGAGGCACGGGTGATGGAGCCAGCCACACTGCCCGCATCGCGCAGCCTGAAGGGCAGCACCGTTGCAGTCTGCGGCACCGTGGAGTTCGCGAGCAAGGCGCTTCCCTTTGTTGTCGTACTCTTCCAGCCAAATCTTCCCCTGCGAATCCAAGCAAACGAACTCGCCCACGCGCAGGTTCATCACCCAGCGGCCCTGCCACAAAGAACCGTTGCTGCTGAAACACATACCTTCACCGTCTGCACGGCCACCACGAAAAGAACCCAAGTGTTGCATGTCTTGAAGCAGCAGCGCACCAAGCCCATGTGGCTTGCCATCTCTGGCATGCCAGCGCCCGACTTCTCCGGCAAACACGGCCGTCTTGGCAATTTGTATCGGGTAGTTCGTAGCTTTGCACCACACTTCCTTCAAGTCATTGTGTAATGAGATCCAAAACTCCTCTACTCTGCGCAATGGATCCGCTGTGATTTTGTGCAGTCTACCCTGTGTGGAAGTGCTGGAAGGCATCAACTGCAAGGGCATCTCCACGGATAGCCTCGGTGCAACCTTTGCGGAGACCTCCTGGACACGAGAATCACAGCATTCTTACATGTCTGTGGTAGCAGCAATGCCTCGCGAGCATTCTAACCAGCATCCAATTCAACATTCAACTTGTTCTGTGGTCCACGGGAGGTCGCTATCACACGACTCCTGCATACAGAGCCGTCTACATTCCGGCTGCCAGTTACATTCCACCTTCCGGCTGCTAGTCATACAATTGCTTAACGTGTGAAGCGGGAAGCAATCAAGATTCGACACTTTGCCGATCAAGGATTGCACTTCACAGCAGTCTAGTGTTCATGCTGAACATCTCGCAAATCCTCTCTGCCCACAGGCTCCGTCCTCTGGTTTAGGGGCAACTGCGGCATGGAGACGAAACTTCGCTCGCTGGGTTGCAGTGAGTCCATCACCTCAGAGTGTCATTTCACCAGCGGGGGTGGTGGGTCAGGGATTAAGTCCTCATTATCATTTCGATTGTATGAGCACACGTCGACAAAGGCTCTGAGATTTGACATCTCAGGAGTAAGCTTTGCAAGGATTCCAAAGCCTTGCGTAGACTCTTCTTCTCGACCGCAAATTGCGGAGGTCGTGGTGCCGGCAAGCATTGCCGAACTGTTTTTGTTGTTGCTCGAGATTTCACACCGCATTGAAACAGCCCTCAGCCCTCAACTTGGCCAGAAAACCGGGCAGCAGCTCCTGCTTGGGTGGCTGTCGTTCCTGCAGGTGCGGCCTGCCAAATAGCAGTTTTCATTTGAGCAGACTATGCTGTGAAATGGCAGGAACTGCTGAAGCTGTAAACTTTCTTGCGGAAGCCCATGTTGAAGGCACGTGATCTGAGATGTCCTTACGTCGAACACGCCGGGTTTTGTGACTGCGAATGCCAGAAGAGTCCGGCGTCGAGCCTTCTGTGGTGCGGCCGTAGTCCGAGAGTCACCTGGCAATTGGCAAAGCAAAAAATCTCAAGCTCGGGCTGCTGCGAAGCATTGTGCATTCAGGAAGATTTGTGAAGCTCCAGCCCAAGTCGAGAATTGCAGTAAGAGGGTCTTCAAGTCCTGCGCTCCACAATGCTACTCCGCCTGTTCCTACCCACAACTCAGGCCTCGCCCCAACCTTGTGCTTGGGCGAGAATGGCCTCTCAGGTTTGCAGCACTCTCATCATAAGGATCACAAGCATACTCACGCGAGGACGCCAGCCAGCTGCACACACACACAAAAACCGGAGAAGGACGACTCTGCTCTGCATAAAGGAACGGGCAAACTGCCGCTTGACGGCACAGCACCCGACACCACATGCTGACAAGTGAAGGGATCGCACCTGGTTCCATCCCATGGAGACACTGGCACCAGCTTCAGATCGAGACGTGCCCAATTGATGAACGCCCTCCTGCTCGTAAGCATGCAATTCAATTTTGAACTAGATGCCGGGCGGAAAGGCTCTCGCACTTCAGGATCAGGTGCTGTGATGGCGATGCCAGCTTCCTTTCTTCGGTCGAGGGTGGGTTGCGTGCCCGTTAGCGTGGTGAGCCATAACTCGAGCCGTGGCCGCTGATATCAAGGCAGTCATGACGCCGTCAATGCGAATGATACCAAATTCACCCCACACTGAATAAAACTCAACACAAGGCCCCGAACCCCAAGCCCCAAGACAAGGAATCCTTGAACTTGAACTTCGTTCGCTGAGGTTGCAGGGGGATGAACCCATCATTCTCCACCATGGCCGCACGCACTGGCGGAGAGAAAGGCCATAAAGCTAAACCGAAGTACTGAATTGGCAGTACTCCAGCCATCTCTGCACCCGTCCTTGCAGCTGTAGATACAGGAGATACAGAAAGTAAACAATGCCACCTAATTACTCTTGCATGCATAACTTCCCCGCAACTGACTACCAGGTGTGCTGGGAGGCGGGCTACCGCTACTGCAGATGCTACTGCTACGGGCAAAAAAACGGGCGACGCCGGATATGTTCAAGATGATGATGGCGACGACTGTAGTGGCAGTAGTGATGATGATGATACCGACACTGGTGATGACGACGTTCATGGCGAGTGTGTGGCGGTGTGGTGGTGGGGTGGGCTTGTCGTGGGTGTCGGGCCGGCGATGATTAGCACGGGCACATGACCCTGTCTATCAATGGGCAGATGTATGTCTGTCGCATGTATAGTTGTGATTTGATGAAATGAACGGCCCTCCAATCTGCCTACGAAACTGTCAGCATGCGAGTGAAGAATACTCTGGTCAGTTGGAGGGCCTCCATCTGAATGCTCGTCAGCGGCAAGGCCACCCAAGTTTGTAATGATCCATGGCATGCCGGGACGAGTGTTCTGTCGCCGATTTCAGTGGCATGAGGCTGGACAGTAATTGCCGTTGGGGATGGCCTGTCAAAGTGTTGCCACGAAAGGCGGCCGGTCTTGACAAGGCCTGAAGCACTTCAATATGAGATGCCCTCGCCTTGCAAACTCCGAAGACAGGCCCGTGGAACAAGAAAGTTTTGGGCAGGCCTACTGCTGTGACTGTCGCCTTGAGCAATATTTGTCGCAAGATTCGCCAGCTCGGGGAACCTCGTGCTTGTATCACATTCTCCAGCTCGCGCTCTTGTCTGTCGTCTTTCACAGCTTTCCCGCCGAGGCCGTGCTATGGCCAGCGTGCCTCGACAAGGACCTCAGTTTGCGACTGAGGGGGATGCCTGAGTGGGCGCAATGACCCTTTCAGACCCTTTCACCATTCGAGGATCCCAACCGAAAAGTGTTTTCCGAAAACTCTCCAGGTTTGTCGGCCGCGTGGCCACCGCATCTTGATCCTCTAGCCCCTCCCCAAGGTTGGGTGGCTTGACCTGGACGTGAACGAGAGAAAGAAAGCACAAGCGGGAGAGAGAGAGAGAGAGAGAGAGCGAGAGCGAAAGCGAGGGAGGGAGGGGGGAAGGGAGGGAGCGGAGTGAGAGGGGAGAGAGGGACTTCCCAAAATTCGACATCAAGACATGGATCGCCCGACCCCCCAAGCACAGCTCCCAGGCACGCCTTGCTAATCTCAACCGTCGCCCCGGCCTGCTGGAGAATCTCACGGCGCTTTCAGCTCTCGGACGCGAGTTACTTAATCTTGTAAGGTTCAGTGTCAAGCGCAAAAATGCCATGTGCTTGTCCCGTGTCACCGTCTGCTCACCCACCCAGCCCTGCAACACCCTGCAATGCTTTGAGGATTGATGTTTGTTTTTTTTGGTGGTCGCGAAGCATCCGCGACCCTGGCTATAACTCGATGCCACAAAACAGGGCCTCGGTCGAAGCTTCAACCCAGGATGCAACAAAACGCGACACCCAGTTCACCAAGGCCTCGCGCAGTGCGCCTGCGAATGCTTCACGGGCCCCAGCAATGCGCTCACGCCTGAGATTTTTTCTTAGCAGGTACCTGTATTGATGACTGTGGACTGCACGGGATCGTGACGATTAAACACTACGTATGGGCTGGTCTTCTCGGTCGCAAATCCGAGGTTGACAAAGCCGAAAAGCTGCCAGCTTTGAATCCGAATGTCAGTAAGCGCATTACACCCTAAGTTCCACGACTTGACCTTTGCCTTCAAATCCCCGCAGTCTTGGCCCCACACAAACAGCTGCAATTCGGAGCGTGTTTAAGACTTCAACTCTGGTGTTTTCTTGGCTCATTAGAACAGATAGGGTCCCACTGCGGATAATTCAATCGCCTGAACGCTTCGTGCATTGGCGACGCATCTCGCGAAGCGAAACCCACAGGTTGTGGCACGAGTATGATGGCACAATGTGACATTCGCAATAATACGTTGGCTGACGGCAGTCCAACCACTTTTCGGCAGCTGCACGGTTTGCTCCATATGCTCGAGGCAACGCACGGCTTTTGCGGCGTCCGTGCCTTCGGAGGGCCTTCTCCTGACCTCTCATGTCATGCAGTGAGCCCGTTGCCAAGTTTTGGCTGGACTCAGAGCTTCACGGCGTTTGAGATCCGGAATTATATATACGCATCTTGGAAGTCTTGAAACTCCGTCCGAGGTTGCAACAGAAATGATTAACCTGCCAGCGATGCTGCAACTTCATGGGCGATTGCGCGCTTGATCGGGCTCTGTCTTCGTATATGATGCTTCGTTGGTTTTTTAACGGAACTGTGGCATCACGATGATGCTTAGTCATGATGTTTCGTAACATGTGCGATCACCTCCCGCAAATGAGCGAGGAGTATCACACATACTCATCTCGCCCTACCGCCTGCGACGATGCAACCAAGCACGAAAGGAAGGGTTGTCTTTGTCTGGCACGGCAGTCCTGGCCGCTACTGCATACTACGTGTGACTACTACTGCCACTGCTACTACTACTGCTAATACGGCTACCACTGCTAGCAACTAGACTGCTACTGCTACTGCAACTGCTGCTGCTGCAATTATTGATATCATTACTATTACTCCTACTAGTTCTATTGCTGCTACTACTACTACTACTACTACTACTACTCTACTACTAGT